CAACATACCTGGTTTCAAATAGAAGTCTGCCACTTACACTCCATATGCCCCCATGACAGTTCTTTCTCCTCTTTGAGTCTTAGTTTCCTCATCCATACAATGGGGAAAACGAGGTACCTTGAAAATTGTTGTCAAGACTGAATGAGCTTCTATTTGTAATGTATCTGTCCCTGGTCATATTGGAAACCACTGGTTCTGGTCCCAAATCTTTGTTACGATCCATCTCCTCCAGGCAGTGCCCACTTCTGCTAAGGCTCAAAACCCTGGAGTCAACTTTGACCCCTCCTCACCCCTTTCAAGCAAGTCAGCTGCCACTTCTTTCCTCTTTTTTGCCTTGGCCACCATCACTGCAGAGACGCTCTGACCATTGCGGCTCCCACATGTCACTCACTGCAGGCTCCATCCTAGAGCGCAGTCGCCACTCCATTGATTCTCCTGCTCAGAAACCGCTGGTTGACTTAGTCTCCAGTGAAGCACACACTCCACGTCCTCAACAGTGCAGCCCAAGGCTCTCCTACCTCTTGTCCCTGACCTCTGTCTGCTAACTCCAGCCAAAAAGGGGTGCTCTGCACCCCCCCAGATGCAGCACCCTGTATGTTCCTCTCTTGCCATTCTGTTCTCCTCAAGAAACAGCAGGAAGAAGTCTCTCCTCAACCTTAGTGGTTAGAGCCAGCGCCAGACCCCGACGTGGTCTTGTCAGCTTAAGAAAGTTGCTCAACCTCTTTGAGCCTTGGTTTTTCCACCTGTAAAATGACGCAAACAACTGTGTCTACTTTATACAATTATTGTGGGGTTGTTGTTTTCTTTTTTATCCTCACCTGAGAACATTTTTTCCATTGATTTCTAGAGAGAATGGAAGGAAGGGGAGGGAGAAACGGGGGGAGAGAGAGTGAGAGAGACACATCAATTGGTTGCCTCCCAAACGTGCCCCAACTGGAGCCAGGGATCGAACCTGCAACCCAGGTACGTGTCCTTGACCAGAATGGAACTGGCGACTATTGGGTGCATGGGCCCACTCTAACCGCTGAGCACACCGGCCAGGCTATACGATTATTGTCAAGCTCCGAAAGAACTATTATTATGTCTCTCTGTATGACTTCCAGGTACTAGTCCTTATCTTATTCTGCCTAATATCGGTTTCTAAAATATAACCATAGTTATAAGAACGTGCACCTTACTGTTTGCTCTCTCTCCGCCTCTAGCACCTCCCAGGAGTAAGCTCTCACTGGGAACATACTGTTTCCTTCCCTGTGGTGGCTCCCCCACACAGCGAGCCCTCAAATATTCCTTGAAATGGGTGACATGAGGTGTAATGATGTCTCTCCCTCAGTCTCAAAAAAATAAGAACCAGGCCAGGACATCTAGCGATCTGGCCAAGATCACATCAGGTAAGGCAGCGCCATGGGAACAACCTGGCCTCCGAACTAGATCCAATCGCCTGTCAGCACCAGGAGCCCAGCGCGTTTAATTATGCTGCTGAACAGACAGGCATGATAGAGAGTGGTGATTAGCTTCAAAAGTTCCACAGAACCTTCTTGAAAAAGAATCCTGTGCCCCCTGGCCAAGTGTCAGCCAAGGGACACCCGAGGCACACAGCCCTGTGGGCGTCCGAGTCCTGTGCGGGTCCCCCTCCACTGCGGCCTCAACACTGGGGCACAGAGCTGTGCTATGCTCTGGGTGGGAAGTGCACACAACAACTGCTTCTCTCCCACCCCCGGGGGCAAGACAGGACCAGAACTAACAGAAATTAAATAGTGAATGAAGAAGACCAACATTCAACCTCTACAAAGGAATGAGACTAAAGAAGCGGTTGCTTGGGGGCGGGGGGTGGGGGTGCGCAGGGAGGAGGGAGGTACATTAGGGAGCACAATCAAAAATCCCAGTCCCGTGGCGTGGCTCAGCGGTTGGGCGTCAGCCTATGACCCAGAAGGTCATGGGTCCGATTCCCAGTCAGTGCACATGCCCAGGTGCAGCTTGATCCTCATCAGTAGGGC